GTCAAGGAGTTCCATAAAAAGGTTTCCCAAAACTAACTCCCTCATTGTAACATTGTCCTGCTCAGCAGCGGAGGGGGCATTGGCAAGAAAGACACTTCTTATTTGGTACAAGGAGTTTTATTTTATCTCTATGAAGATGAACACGTTTATGCAATGCTTCCTGCATTGGAGGCTATCCTGGGCCACAGATCCGCACACTCCTTAGCCACAGGGCCTGTGATTGCTGAGCCTGGAAGAGAGAAAAAGGTGCATTAGAGAAAAAGACAGCGCATTAGAGGCGTGAGTAGGTGCAGAGATGGTTCAGGGCAGCATTCCACACAAACGCTGGCTCAGCCCCATTGCACTCTTCGGGGTCTGAGGAGAATCTGGGACCTTTTGCCCAGGAGAGCGCAGCGCTGTAATTGGCAGTGCCAACCTACCACCCCTCTCCGCCTTCCCCTTTCACCCAGCGCAACAGGACTCTTATCCATACCTTTCATTTCACCTTTATTATTTACTATCACTCCTGCGTTGTCTTCAAAATAAAGGAACACTCCATCTTTTCTCCTGTACGATTTCCGCTGCCGGATGACCACTGCTGGGTGGACTGCAAAAATAAACGAGCAGCTCGGTATCGCAAACATCCTTCTGAGCACAGTCCAGCAACAGAAGCCCCAGAGGAACTGTGCTGCTGCAACATCTAACTCAATGCATGGGTTTCAGGTTTTTTTTTTTTTCATCTCGTATTTGTAGTGCTTCACTAGAAGAAGACCATTTCTAATCAATAGTACACTTAAAACTGACTGCATAGCATTTACACCTGCATCTACACTTGGACAATTCAATGTTTTTCCACTTTCCCACCTTTATTTCTAAATATACCATCAATTCACAGACAATGTCAGCCAGAACTCCTCCCTTCCCCTCCAGCACAGCAGCAAACCTTTTCTGAGGCAGAATGTCCCACCGCTGATTGAAGTGAACAGCACAGGCTGCCACTTCACCCAAAAGCGATGGCTTTGCTCTGCCCTTCCACGACAACTCGCTGAGCCACTGCACACAGACCCAACAAGTGCTTTTTAGGAGGGTGGAGGTGACACTCCAGAGATTCAGTGCCCACTTTCTGCATCTATTTGAGGGAGGAATCCTCCTCCCTGTCGACGAGCAACCTGCCTCTCTGTCCCTACACTGCAGGAGGAACTCACCCTTCTTCCTCAGCTCTGGCTTGCCCTTCTTGACAGTAGCCATCACCATGTCACCCACGCCAGCTGCCGGCAGCCTGTTCAGACGCCCCTTGATGCCTTTCACAGAGATGATGTACAGGTTCTTTGCCCCTGTGGAGAAGCACAGCATTAACTGGGATGTCTGGGAAAGCGCTTCCCTTGTCAAATCACCGACTGAAGCCAACAGCACTGGCTGCCGCTTCACCCACGAGCGATACTATTGCTGTCTCCTTCCACGACATCTTACTGAGCCACAAACACTGACTCAACAAGAGCTTTTAAGAAGGAAAACTGGTTTTTACGAGCTCGTTTAACGGCTGGTTGCCCTCTGCATTACAACAGAGGCCTCCTCCCCGCAGGGCCCCCCCGGCGCCGGCAGAGGCCCGGCAGCAGCCAACTCACCTGTGTTGTCGGCGCAGTTGATCACAGCTCCCACCGGGAGACCCAGGGAGATGCGGAACTTCGCACCGGAGGAACCGCCGCGTCCTGCGGGTCGAGGAGAAGATTAAGACCCCGGCAACGGAGCACAGACGGACTGCAGGCAGCGGGGAGTCAGCACGGGCCTGCGCCGCCCCAGGAGGGGGACAGTGACACCGGCTGCGGCCTCCGCTCCCGGACACGGCCGGACGCCATTCCCCGGGCCCCCGCTCCGCCAGACCCCACCCGAGCAGCCATCCGGGGATCCCCCGCTCCAGGACGCTCCAGGACACCGGATGGAGCCGGATAACCACCTTCCCCCCCGCCCCTGCTCCCGCCTCACCTCGCTTCGACATCTTGGCGCCGGAAGAGAAGGACGCGCGCGGGGGACGCCGGGATATGGGTTCGCTCCGCCCACCCACCGTCGCTCCGCCCACCGCCGCTCTTTCCGACGTCACGTGGCGAGGCCGGCCCGCGGGAATCCCCTCCCTGCAGCGCCCCCTAGTGGCGCGGAGGAGCAACACACCCCAACCCCCCGGTACCGGGCACCACCGGACGCAGGCGCAGAAGGGGGAAGGCTTTTTTTGGGGAGAAGACAAAAAAAAAAAAAATCCTTCTTTTTAGATTTTTGGTTTCGGGGGAGAAAAAGAAGGAGAAGGAGGGGGAAAAAGAAGAAGGGAAGTAAAACAAGGGGGCACCCGGATTTGAACCGGGGACCTCTTGATCTGCAGTCAAATGCTCTGCCACTGAGCTATACCCCCACTGGTAGTAAAAATCTGTGATTGCTTAGAAGTCCTTCCACATGTGCGCAGCCCCCGTTCCACGTGTGTAGAACGGGGGCTGCGCACACGTGGAAAGCGCCACTTTTCAGTACGTTCTCCTCTAATGCTTAGGAAAACCGTGTTTTTCCCAAGGATGTGGGGGACAAGGAGGAGCGAGCCCCAGGCACTTGACCCAAGCTGGCCAACGGGATTGTTTTGTACCAGGAATGGCACATTCCGTATAAATTCAAAAGTTTTTCTCTTCCTTCATGGCTGCTATGCTGAGAACTTCTTGCCCCCCAGAGCCCTGAGCTCTTCCCTTCCTCCCGAAGCCACGGCGCTCGCAGTGTCCCACATTTGCCGTCCCCTGCTGGAAATGCAGAGCTTCCTATGGATAGAGTGGGCTGAGGATAATCCTCGTATGTTTTATATCAGTATCAGGATCAATATTGGTTCTTTAGTATTATTAATGCTAGTTATTTGCTCTTATTCTATTAAACCTGTTTATTTTTTCATCCCTCAAGTTTCCTTTTTTCCACCCTGATTCCCCTTCCCAGGTGAGGAGGGGGTCATCAGGCAATAGAATGTCTAAACAACAATAAATTGCTGTGGGATCTTCAAACCATGGCAGCTTCTCATCCACCAACACCTCCCCAGCCCTCCTCCTCCATCCCTTCTCCACGTGGCCTGGATTTGAGCTGGGGATTGCCCTCCTTCACGTGCGGCACCTTGCACTTGGCCTTGTTGAACTTCATGAAGTTGGCACCTCTCAAACCTGCCCCGGTCCCTCTGGGTGGCATCCCTGTCCCTCCACCACTCCACACAGCCTGGTGTGCTCGCCAAACTTCCTGAGGGTGCGCTCACTCCCGCTGTCCGTGTCACCGACAAATTTAACTGCAAAGTGAAAGAGGTTTTTGCCCAGTGGCAATAAATGATTTTCTATTTACTCAGGGATCACCTAAATCTAATTTCAGGCGAGAAGCACAAGCGATGCTGCTTGTCATATTTCATCTGCCCGACCCTCTGAGCGCTCTGCGTAGAGCTAAAAAGCATCTTGACAGCTTGAAAGCAAATAATGGGAAATACATATTTAAGATAATAACTTCAGAAAGCAAAGAAGTGTCCTGTCATTTCACGGCTATGAAATCAACCGCTAACAGTAAACATGTGGTTTGTAGCTAATGAGAGACAAGTACTGAAGCATCGTCTGGCATAATGATGTAAATGCGTTGTAACACAGTGTTAACCCAGCATGTGTCCTCGAGGGGGGTCCTGGGACATCAGCTCGCACCCATCGCGCTGCAAAGTCACCAGGAGGAAAGCGCGGGCCACGCTGTGGCGGACAGACACCGGCCATGATGCAGCTCATGAAAAGAAAAGAAAAAAGAGAAAGAAAAACTGCAGCTGGCACCAGCCCGTGGCGGAGCGATGCCCTCAGCAGCAGCAGCAGGGGGGAGGCTGAGCCGTGGTGTGCGAGGAGCATACCCTCCCAAAACCTCTGGGTGACGAAGAGCCTCCCTCACCCGGCAGCGTCTCCTGAGACAAGAGAGGAAAAACCACCCACAACATCCCAAAGAGCTGGATAAGCAGAAAAGCTCGTCTTATTTTAAGCTGTGATGGGCCGGGAAAGGGTGGGAGGCTGGTTCGGGGGGCTGGGAAGCGTTGGGTGAGGTGATCAGAAAGGGAAGGAGTGGGCGCCTTTGTGAGAGGATCAGATAAAGCTGCTTTATAAAATGAAGGAAGCCAATTTTAAGCCGCATCCTGAAATGAATAAGAGGGAAGAGAGCCGAGCGCAGCCTCGTTTGATGTGGGTGTGCTTTATTAAAGCCTGCCTGCACACAGCGATTGCCGGGGCTTGTTCTTTTGTAACAAGCTCCGGGAAAGGAGAACGTTGGGGGAATTAAGGTGTCGTTATCTCCTGATAGAAATTGAATTAATGTTCTTACTGAGGTTTTTGTCATGTAATAACCCAAATCGACCGGAGCCGATGCTGCCCACCTGACTGACTGCACGTCACTGTGGAAGGGACGTTGTGCACTCGTAGGAAGAACCCACACGAACCGGGGGTCTGCGTTACCCCACGGGGCTGGGGGCCGCCACGCAGAGGTGAAGGTGCTTCTGCTCACAGTTGTGTTGATGCATGTCAATAAAATTATGCTGCAAAGAAGATGGAGACTCCCTTTTTACAAGGAATCACATGGGAAAGATGGGGGGCAACGGGTACAAGTTGGTCCTGGGGAAATTCCAGATGGGCACAAGAGGAAAATTTTTCACACTGAGAACAATTGGCTGTTGGAATAAAATCCCCAGGGAAGCGGTGGGTTCCCCAAAACTGGACACTTTTAAGATTGAGCTGGGCAGGGTGCTGGGCCACCTATTCTAGACCATGCTTTTACCTAGAAAGGTTGGACCACGTGATCCTTGAGGTCCCTTCCAACCTGGGATTCTACGATTCTACGATAAAAATTAAATTTTAACTGGGAATTAAATTAATTAACTAAGATTAATTTTAACTGGGAACGGGATTTGGTAAACCGCATGCTAAGTGCAGACCCAGGTTGCTCCCCCGCCCTCATCTCTGCCCTCTACCTTTGTGGACTGTTTTCCGTAAATAATAATAACAAGAATAATAATAACGTTGTTATTTCTTGCAGCTCGAGCCCACGCGGCGCCGGAGACTCCCCACGCCCTCCGCGTGACGTTGCCATCGCCGTCACTTAAGATTAAGAAGTAGTAAAAAAAAAACCAAAAAATCACAATTTATCCTTTCAGGGGGCACCCGGATTTGAACCGGGGACCTCTTGATCTGCAGTCAAATGCTCTACCACTGAGCTATACCCCCGGTGGCCGACAGGCCTTTCGCGCGATCACTTAGAACCTCTTCCACGCGTGCGCAGTCCCCGTTCC